GGGGTGGGTGGGTGCTTACAGGGCCGTTCTGAAAACCACTTCTGTGAGAACGCACCCTGTCTAAAGATTATTATCTATCGAAGTACAATAGTAAAGTTTCCTACTTGGAGAAGTTAATTTGGTTTTATCAGGCAATCGATGATGTAAATTGGCTACCGCAAAGAATTTCCAAAGCTGACGTTTCTAGCGTTAGCTTTAGCTTAGAGCGGATGACAAAAGGCTTGAACGCCGAGGGTTGCCTCGCAAAAAAAATAGCTTCACACCTCAATTTATGTAAGAGACCGGTTACTATTAATCGCTTTGCGGGAGGAGAGGGGGTGAAGAAACTTGGTTGTGTCACGACAAATTTCCTTGATCTCCTCCTAAGGCTCTTTAATATTAATAGTCCTTCCTTTACATTAATTTTCGTTTGAGAAGACTGATCTCCCCTCCTCTTTCCACTGAAAACCACCCCATCCCAGTTAATATATACTGACTGGCACCTAACTCAATTTATTCTCCGTCACAGAAGTATCACCAGTGGTTGTCCTGGACGAAATTGAAGCAGGAGAGTTTGTGAAAGCTATAAACAATCTTACGCCCCATAAGGGAGGTGACTGCCCCGAGTACGCATTTACTGGCATGCTAGAGGCACTCTATCAAGAGCCACAGTGGGGCTCCCCTATGTACGTGTTCACTGATGCTGGTCCGAAAGATGCAACGGATGAATACATCGAGGAAGTGAAACACTTGGCTGGCGCTGAAGAATACGGCGTGACAATTAACTTTTTTACAACAGGTGAGTGCAATGATAATCTAAGCTTTTATTTGTTCTCGTCACGCAATGTATGCTCTCTTGTTTTAAGCGATAGTGTCACGGAACAATATAAGTTGTTTTGTGCAGACTCGCGCAACAAGTGTGGTTTTGCCTTTCTTAGCAATCAGGCGTTATTTGACTCTTTATTTTTATCAAGTATTATGGGTCGTAAAACTCCTAGATTCATGGGAAAATAACAAGATAGGGCAAGAGTACGTGACTTACCAGCTAAACAGGCTTTCTAACTTGAAAGGTCTGAAAAAAAATATTGTTATTATAATTATTATCATTATTAACATTACGTGTGATGCACGATCCTCGCGGTAGAGAGCGCTATTTATGCAATAGCGAAAATCAGACCTCTTACGGGAGGAGTACTTGAAGGAACTAATGTCATCAGTGTTGGCTCAAATATGTCGGGAAGAAAGAAGCGGAACGTTGACAGGGCAAGAAGCAGCCGATATAGCATTCCAGTGGACGAGTCCATCGAGAAATTGATCATATCAGTGACCACCACAAAGATATATACAAAAGGTGGGAGTATTTACAACTAGATACTCGGATTTCTGTTAGTATCTGAGGAACTGCGTACCCGCCCCTCCCCTAACTCAACACCAACAATACCTTCGTATCAGCTAACTGTCGTGGCCTCTGTATTAGAGAGGGGGACTACTCTCTTAAACTCCCATGAGTGACCAAGACATAATTTCTCATTACAATATCAATACAGTAAAGAGCAGACAAGTGGTGAGAATAAAGAAAAAATATTAACTACCAAGTACTAACTAAATATTAACCGCAAAATTCTCTAAACAATCATTCTAAGAATTGTATGGCGGACAGTGAGAAGAATTGCTAAAGAGATCTTGGAAGTGAACGTGTTAATAGAAATTAGGATTATTAGGGTGTTTTCGGCAATTGATACCATATCGTTCATTTAACTTTCAATGTAACGATCTTTCTTTTATTTCTCTCCTCGCAAAGGTAAGGGAATCACTTTAACAGATCCCGACAATATCGTTATCACATCTGGAAAACGCAGCCTGTCTCAGATCTCCGTTTACCAGATTGACAACCCCAAAAAGGGAGGCTGGACTCTAGCTGTGTCAGGGAGCAATGGAGGTCACGAATTTTACGTCAAATCTACTAGTGAGACAAACGTCGACTTCGAACATTACTTCCTTATTCCATTAAGCCGAAGGCGTCGTCGGGAGACGTCTGAAGTACCTATTTCAAATCCAGTAATTGGTAAGTTCGCTCCGTCGATTGTGTTCTTTGAAGACACCAAGGGAACAGGCATCATGATTCGCCTAGGGGGGAGGAGATTTTTGTGCGGATCACACGGTTTTTAGTGGCGGAAGGGGGGATCAGTCGTCGCTAACGGAGCATAAAGGAGGGGGTCTATAGAGAATTGACTGTCAAGTAACTGTCAGTGAGGGGGGAGGAGCGGAGCCTATGGGGTATCAAGTGAGTTTAATCGCGATAAAACCAAAATCCTCCGATTCCCCTCCCCCCATCTCACCGCACGCGCTAGCTAAGAGATACAATAATGCCCAAAAACCATTGACCTAGCTTGTGTTGTCACTTTGGTAGACGCGCTAAATAAATTACATGTACAACGAGTTTATCTGTCTATCTATTTATATAAGTTTTTTTATTTGTCTTTCTTAGGCAAAGCGAACAAGGTGGTTATAACAGTCGCAGGTTCTGAGAAAGTCAATTCAAGCTCCGTGCGTTTGGAACTCATTACCACTGAAGGAACTAGGATCAGTGACGTCACACTACAGACAGCTGACCATGTCCATTTCACCTCAAGCTTCACTCCTCGTGCAACTCAGCCATTCAAATTCAAGCTCAGAGGCATCACTCGTGGCGGGAACCCGTTTGAAAGGATTTCGCACCAGACAATCAAACCGACGACGGTCGTGCTTAGGGGAAAGTATGCCAGCAATGACTATACCCTCCCTCTAGGAAGAGTCTCGTTTGTTCATTTTCAGCTGTGCAATTTCGGTGCCAGTGAATTTTTTGACGTGACCACCGTAAAGGACAAGATGGGGTACTTGCTCTCTCGGAATGTGAGATCAAGGCGGGTGACAAAGGGCCGTTGTGCTACACTTTCCGTTCGCGCTAAAGCTACACGTCCTACTGATGTAGACAAAACAGATATTGTGTTTTTAATCGCCAAGGGTCAAACATCTAAAGTTGTTGCTTCACAAGCAATGCGTCTGTTCGTTGTCTCTTAAGATCATGGGAGTCACATCGGAAGTATTTTAGCTAATAAACGACAGCAAATGTAAACAAAGAAAAGCATCTAGAATAAAAGAATAGAGAATAAAGAAGTTGATATCAGGACCATGACAGAATGTTTGGTTATCCGTATGATTTTCTATCTTTGTTTCTTTATCTCGGATCATCAATTTTCCAGTGCTACTCTTGCAAACTTTAATTAACTTTTTTGTAGCGCCTATAAACGTAAGGATTTGATATGCAAATATTTTGGCGTAAGTATCATCTTAGGAGTCTGGGGAGAGCATGCATCTTATTGAGATGGCAGACCGATTTTCAATTATGGGGGATATATTGAGAAGGACTTTGAGGGGATATCCGCTAATTTTGTGGCCCGCGGAATAGCCCGTTGCCAAATGGTACCCTAATGATACCCTCTCGTGAACTCACTTATTTTCAGGAGGGTAGGAATTGAATTTCAAATCTAATCTGCAACCTAACACTTGATCCGGCTAAACAAGTTCAACTCTATCTCTATGTTTAACTTTTTCTAATTTATTGAACTTCGTCTGCAGTGGGATATTTTGCCTTTATAACCTGGGATCGCAGCAGAAAGAAATCTGCTATATATTAACCAGGGGATCGTATTCCCAACGTATTCCCCTCAGCACCTCACTGCAATCCTAATAAAATTGTGGTTGCCATGTAAATTACCAAGGACTTTGCAAAGCAGTGCAAATCAACTAAGAGGTGGGATCGAAGAAAACAAATGATCCTAAAACATAAACAGAAGGTAATCTTGGAGCCAAGACGTGCTTTGATGACAATGCACAGTTGTCGAGACCACCTGTTAGTTCGCACTTCATTATATGCGTGACATAGCCAAAGATACTTACGAGAAAAAAACATGAAATAACAGCAAAATCATCCTGAAGACAAAATCAAATGTATTTTCTCCTTATCGCGATTATGCTGCGCTACGTATGTCTCTCCCCGGCCCAGTCTGTCAGTGATTGAAAAAACTAGAAAGCAAACATACACGAAAGCGCAACACCAAACCAAACTGCCTTACTCGCGTTCCCTACCTACATCCAGCCTGAAAAAAAAGTGAGCTTGGATTGTTGTATTAAACAAACATCTAAAAGCGTTCTAGATAACCAGTCATCTGGCATAAAAGAATTTATAATTCAATCCAATTCTTCTTTCTAAGGGAGAAACTGTTCCAATCCATCTACCTGATAGCGGAAAGACTCTGCTCTACAACTTCTTTACTTTTTGCATACTTCGTTTGTTGTTTGTCGCAAAAGAATTGAGATCTACCCAATTCTACATAGCGCGTGCGCCTGCGTAACCGTCTGCTCATTAGCGCTTTTGTTTCACGACGTCTTCGCAGTCGACCCGAAGGATGACAACTTGTACAGAGCTCGCACGCCGACAACGAAAGGTAAAGTTCTTTTATAGATATACTGAGTATTACGGTCAACCATACTCGCTGATACGATGTGGAAAACTTTGTTACCTCGGGTAGCCTGCAGAGGAAAAAGCAACCGAGAAAAAAAGTTTAAGATATTGGTAAGTTTTCCGCACAGCCCTACGTTCTGTAGACACATTATGCATACAGTTCTTGGACAAAGAAAACAATACGTATGATGCACGATCCTCGCAGTAAAAAAAATCAGGCCTGTACGGGACTCTAACCACTGACCTCTGCGATACTAGTGCAGCGCTCTACCAATTGAGCTAACAAGCCAACTGGGAGCAGGCCGTTAAGTTGGTTCGTAATAAACCCGTGAAAGTGATAAATGAGATAGAATAAATATATGAACTTCATATATTTATTCTATCTCAAAGAAAACAATGGCGAAAACAGTAGATTGCCTTTGGGATTACGTCTTTGTTTTACAATAAGGACTTTAAGCAGTCAGGACGGCAACGCCACGGAAGACGTCGATCAAAAAATGAGTTTCTACTTCTACTTAGAATTTCCAAAATAGCTGCATGTGTTTACTGTCTCATAGGGCACCAGATCTCAAACTCAACACAACGCATAAAAGTAACGTTGAGTTCCAAATGTAAATTATAATAATTTGCCGCCGCGGTTTCGCTTCGCAGACGACGCAAATTTTGGTGATTTCACGTTGTTGTTTTGCAAAGGACGGCTAAGAAATGTACAGAGTTTTAAAACGCACGTGCTGGGCTATTGTTCTGCCAATTAGATCTATTGATTTTCCACATTGATGTTGTCGTCACCGTCGAGGTTTGCTAATAGGGAGCTTAAAATACAGACGTTTTCGGGGCGACGGCGACGTGGAGACCGATTAAGATTGGGGCGAGATTGACTGCGCATGCGGCCCCGCCGTCGCCCTCACGTCGACGATGTGAGATCAGTGAGTTTGCCGTCGTGGTGAAAACATGAGTTGATATTGTTTATTTTTTTTTAATATACTGCCAATTTTGTCACTTGTATTAAAGTGATTGCATTATCACATTTCGCACAAGTCATCACACGATGTCTCGGCCAACTCAAGAGACCTTTTCAAGTTTTCTCTTTAGGTTAAAATGACCGAAGCAACAGTGAAGTCCAAATCGTCGAGGTAAGTCTTGGGCACGTACGCGCACAGTACTTGAATTCTACCATAAAAGGGGAATTTTGCTTGCTGCCATTCCTCTTATTAATTCGTAGATGCACCTGCGTTTCCATG